GCTCCTGACAGAGCGTCACATTTTAGCTGCTCCTGACAGAGCGTCACATTTAAGCTGCTCCTGACAGAGCGTCACATTTTAGCTGCTCCTGACAGAGCTTCACATTTAAGCTGCTCCTGACAGAGCGTCACATTTTAGCTGCTCCTGACAGTTCACATTTAAGCTGCTCCTGACAGAGCGTCACATTTTAGCTGCTGTGGAAGTGGAGCATGGTTTCTGTAAAAGATGGAGGGATTTGATTGGAAGCAGCAGGGAGAAAAGTGAAAACATGGCGTGGTGGAGGAGAGGTGACGGCAGCGAGAGGACAGCGTGTCCATTTATGGACTTATTTATTTATGTGAGGACTGACAGCAGAGACCGTCCCCTGCAGAAATAAAAAACATGAAATGTAGGAGTCAGAGAGCATTCCTGCTGCTGCCTTATCAGAGTCCTTTTAGGAGGATCCTGTTTATTCCTGAGGATCATTAGTGTGGAGCCACAGAGACCGGCTCCTGTCGGGGGTCTGAATCCAAACATCTCAGACTCAGAACCAGTCCAGGACTCTGTTTGGACCTGTAAAACTGAAGCCACATCAATCTGTCACCCCACCATGGTAAATATAGCTGCTGTGATAAAAACAGCTGAAGTGTTTCTGTCAGGTGTCAGAGACGCTGAAGGAGGAGAGAGAAACAGGAAGAGGTGAGAATGAAGAATCTGCTGCAGTTTGATGGAAGATAAAACGATTCTGCTGCTGATTAAAACCAAACTCTTGTTTTCCTGTTTACATTTTTTAATCCAACAACTTCTGCTCATGTTCTGCCGCTTTAGCTGTTTGTATATCAAAAGGTTCGGCTCATCCTGAAGATGGGTTTCATGACTTTTGGATTTTTTTAAACATATTTTTTTTACAAATATTTTCTAAGATTCTTGAAATACTTGATTTGACTCAATTTTTTCTTATTTCAAGAATCTTACCAAGTAAAATTTTCTTACTCCACTGACAGATATTTTGACTTAATTTGAGTCAAATTTTCAGGCTAACAAGGCAAATAATCTTACACATTCTGAAAACAAGATAATTATTCTTACACAATCAGTTCTTGTTTAGTAAATCAGTCTCAGAACAAGATCAAAAAGACTTTTTGGATGGATATAAGATTTTAAAACTTGGTAAAAATGGACAGTTTTTGCAGTCTGTTTCATCTGGCTTTAGTTTTATTGCCTTTTGCTAATTTTAGCTCCTAGTCTTTTGCTTCTTTAGGTTATAGGCCTGAGCTAAAATTAGTTTCTTAATATGTTTTTCTAATTATAGTCTCTAGTAAGCCTTTTGCAACTTTTCGCTAGTTTTTACTACATTTAGCTAGTCTTTAGTTAATTTTAAGTCCTAGCTAGCCTTCTGCTAACTTTAGCTTCTAGCAAGCCATTTGTGACTTTTCACTATAAGCTAAGTTTTTGCTACTTTCAGCTAGCCATTTGTCCCTTTTATCGTTAGTTTCTTTTAGCTTTTAGCTAGTGCTCTGCTTCTTTCTTCTTCAGCAGATTTCAGCTGTTTTTCATTCTTCGTCATTCCAGCTAAAATCTCACAGAAACTGTAAATTTAACAGTTTTTTTTCCCTGCTTCTTTAGCTCGTCTTCCTGCAGCCCTCCTGACGTTTAGCTGATTTCTCTGCAGGGAGACGCTCAGGCCAAACAGGAAGCTGAAGGAACGCTGCTTCCTGTGGGCTCAGACTAGTACCTGGATCAGGACTTCAGCTGTTGACTGAGCGCCTTGGCCTCAAACATGATTATTGATCATTTTAACGGCGGTCTGATCCGGGTCAGGAGTTCTGGGTCAGGAATCTTAGCTGCAGAGTCCCACCCCTCAGAGCTGAGAGGCCGAAGGGCCGACCTTCACTTCAGAGCTTCTGCTGATCCATCACTTCGGCTCACAGAGCAAACATGAACAGAATTTAAAGAAAATGAGGAAACGTATAATTAGGCGCCTTTGATCCCTCCAGGTCAGGAGGTCCGTTTGAATCAGAATTTCAGCTGTTTTTGAAGCTGGTTCTAGCAGCTGTTTATAGTCCAACAGCTGCACTTCTGCACATTTTAAAGCCAAACATGCACCATTTTTTTGGATCCGCTCCAGAGGAAGACAACCTGCTTGATGCTTGTAACCATCCGTCCTCTCAGGGACCTGATCCGGTCCTCCAGGTGTTACTGGGTCAGCACCGGGCGATCTGGACCCAGTTCGGCCTGGAGCTGTGCCTCATCACTCAGCGAGCAGAGGGACAGGAATGAGGTCAGCGGGAGCGAGGCGATGACAACACAAAGATAAATTTAGGAGTCAAAGTGTCGGCTCGTGATCCGTCTGTATTTGTGGAGGTCTCGTGCATCGATGTCACTTTATTCTGAGCTGGAGTCGGTTTACTGCAGCTGAAATCTTTACAGTCAGGGTCACAGCGCTGCAGCAGAGAGCCTCTGTTTGAGGCTGTTCGAGAGAGAACAGAAGCTAACTGCAGCCTGCGCAAACACACAGGCTGAAGGCTTTAATTACAGCCTCAGGTCTGAGGAAGCTCAGCAGTGCCTGCTGGACTCTGAATCACATGAAACATGAACAGAATCAACAAACAGAAGAAATCCACTTCTGCTGAGCGTTACTGCAGCCTCTCAGTCCCTCTCTCCATCTGATCCAATCAAACATCACTCACCTCAGCTTGGCTCAGATCTGGAGCCTCTCCAGGTTCTGGGTCTGTGCTCTGATGGGTTCAGGTCCAGGATGAAGAGGAGTCCTGTCCTCGTGGGGCCCGGTGACACCGTCCTGCCCTGCGTCTCTGCCTCTGAGCTGAGCCTCAGTCTGCAGGACAGCTGTTTGAGGATTCCTCCACGACTCCTTTTTTTTCTGCTGCGGCAGTCTCCTCCTACATCTCGTCTCGCTCCCTCCTCTCCTCCTCTCTCCTTCCTGCTCGCTCTCACTCGTGTCCCTCTGCAGCACCTGTGCACGCCTGTCCTCGCTCCTCCGGCAGAGCGTTGGGTTTTTGTCTGCTCAGATCAGATGCAGACGTGCAGCCGGGTGCCACCCTGCCTCCTCTCCTCTCACCTGTGATGACTTCCTGTGCGGCGGCGAGCTGGTGTTTTCCTGCGCGCTGCAGCGGGGCGAGGCTCTGCAGCACTGCAGGGAGCAGCAGCTGCAGCGTTGAACCCACACTCTTGTCTCGCTGCAGGGATTAAAGGCCGGGAAGACGCTGCAGTGTCAGAACAGGATCCTTTTTATTCTCACGTTCTCACGCAGCAGACGTCTCATGGCAGCCAGCTCGGCGGTGATGTCACCGCTGTGTGCTGGATGAAATGAGTGTCTGTGAGCAGCAGTTGTTATTGAGCAGCAGATAAACAGCAGTTTGTAACGAGGCCTGATGTCACTGTGGCCTGAACACAACACTGTCCTCTCATTTACTGCAGGAGGAACCAACAAACCCTGGAAACTCCAGAYGGAAACTGAAAGCCCCAATAAGGTGTTCCTGTCCTCACTTTGAACAACCCAGAGATTCCTACACCCCTCCTGAAAATGTGTTTTCACCCTAATTATGAAAGAAAATTAAAAAACAGTAAAAAAAAACTGTTCTTACTTATTTTTTCCCCTTTCAGTAACGTCTGCTTCCTTCAGCTGAGGATGTTTTTGGTTTTTGTTGCTTTTAGTTCAGAGTTTAGAAGATAAAATGTTCCAAATGTCAAACAGGAAGTGTATATATCATAATAAAATCCATTTATTATTTTACTGTCATGCCGTTAGCTCATTAATCCTGTCTGATTTAAACTCTGAGTTTAATCAAAATGTTATCTACAACAGGTAAGACGTTAACTACTAACATTTCCAAAGAACCTCACTGCAAATGTCTAAAGTGTGACTTTAACAAGAATTAAAATCTGTTTTATTTTTTTATAAATGTTAAGCTAAGTTGGTGACTTAAAGATTATCTGGTAAAAAACAAAAACAAACATAATAATCAGTTTTTGGTTTTTATAGAAAGTAAAAAATGAGCTGAATATTTGTCACTTTGAACATTTTTCCATTCAGTCGAAACAAAAAAGCTCAAACTCGTCAGTTTCTTTTCATCAGGAGGATTCTGGGAATCGTAGGAGAGAATAAATTAATTTGCTGCAGCTTAACGAGAATCAGACGTGTTTCCACAGCTTGTGTGAAGCTAATTATATGTTTTTATTTTGCAAACTGCCACAAAGTTTCATCAGAACAAATTTTCTCCAGCAGACTCCTCCCACAGATCCAGAGGAGCTGAACTCTTCCTGTTTTTATAAATCAGTGTTTTTGTTTCTGCTGCAGGTGGGTCTGGTCCAGGTTCTTCTCTGATGTCCATCCTGGTCCTGGATCAGGTCAGTCCTCTGCTGACATCAGTCTGACCAACACAAACAGGAAGTTCTTCACTTTGTTCTTCAGGACTTGGTTCAGTCAGGTGAGGTGGGTTTGTGTGTCAACGCCTCACTCTGTTCACACAGCAGCCGGTTCCACCTTCACTCTTCGGCTGTGAGGACCACAGCCACCTTCAGCTGCACCACTCTGAGTCTGAGAAAGACAACACAGAGTTCTGATCCMGCAGCTGAAACGCTGGTTGGAAAAATTCTTAAAAGCAAAGAAGTGAAACAAACATTTTAGCTTTTCTCAACAGTTTTAATAAAWACAGTCTCTGTTTTATCTTAACTTCAGCATTTCATTTGACAGCTTTAGCTGCAGTTTTGCTACATTTAGCTGCAGGTTTGCCCATTTTAGCTGATTTTCAAACTTTAACTTTTGATTTATTACTATTAGCTTTGCTACTTTTGGCTTAGCAACTGTTTAGCTAATTTTAGCTACATTTGTTTCTACTTTTAGCTATAATCAAACAACTTTTAGCTACAYWTTTGCTAAGTTTGTCTACTTTTAACTATAATTTTGRTACTTTTAGCTAAACCTTTCATAATTTTGGCTACAATAATTAACTCAGCATCTGTTTAGCTACTTTAACAGTTTTGCAACTTTTAGCTCCAATTTTATACTTTTAGCTCCAGTTTTGTACTTTTAGCTCAGGTTTTGTTACTTTTGACTTAGCATCTCATTTGATTAGCATTTCTTATTCTATTTTTAGCTGCAAATTTCCCTCCTTCACCTATTATTTTTGCTATTTTATCTATGATTTTCCTACATTTAGTTAATATATTTACAATTTTGCGACTTTTAGCTATCGGTTTGCCAATAATAGTAGCCGTTTTGTTGATTTCAAAGCCTGTTTTGCTCTGTTGAAACTTTATCTGCAGCAGCTTTTAGCTTGCATTTTGTGCACTTCTGCTTGTTTTAATTTTAAAAACTTCATTTAGTTTTTTTTCCTCAATCATTTTCAGCAGTTGTTATACTTCTCTGCATTTTACATTTTAAATTCTAATAGCAGTAAATATTGTTG